CGAAAAACACGCACCGGCACAGGATCCCGATCGTTGTTCGAACAAGTTTTATTCATTATGTACAATGCATCCGCATTTTTCTGCCCTTTCTCTTCGTCGTTGTTACGAGCAATCACAGTAAGACCCCGCTTAACCCTGTCTCTTTCTCGAATTCTACGTTTCCCGTTGATCCACTGCAATTCAAATTGTTAAGCTCGCATGATACGTGTTACTGATGAAACCAACAAAACAATCATATATTTTGTATTCATAATTCTGTTTCACTTTTTACAAGGTAGAGTATGGTAAGACCGAATGGATGGGAAAACGGAGAAACAATGCTTTTCATAGATAAGAAGCTCGTATCGAGCTGACGTTGCATGCGATAGACCTACATACTGTCAGTTGCTGGGATCCTGGCACTCGTGACGTCATAGGGGCAAAGACAGTCGCCCCGAGAAATCCAATTCCGAGTCCGGAAGCGGCTCTTCGCGCTCTTCGTCGCGCGACCGAATTGGTGGGCGTGAGCGGCTCAGCCAATCAGACGTACGCCTTCGAATCTGACCACTCAGATGAGAGTGCCAGGTTCGCTGCAATAGACGGTACTAAACGACTCTCGCGTTAGCTTCATTGACCGCCAAACTGAAAGTACACAGGGGCAAGGGGACTCTTCCACTCACGATGCTTGGTCCACCTCGACCTTCGAAGCATGGTTATTATTTGCGTGCAGCCATAACAAAGGACGGAAACGAGACAGAATGCGATGAAGTGAAACGCAACGACGGAAAACAAAATTCCATGTTATTGCCGCGCGCCAATAATGACCATGCATTGAAAACCGAAACAGAAAACTTTCAACTTGATGGTCGATGGAGCTAACGTAAGAGGCGTACAATAATAAATCCTCGGTATAATAGAATGGCGCACTTGCCAAATCGATTAACTCTGTAAAACAAAAAGTGGAGGTAAGTGATGCAAATAGGTATACAATGATTTTCAAACTTTCCCTTCAAATAGAAAATTAAATACTCATTACAGAACGTAATTTACTTCATTATAACAGATGTAGCTTTAATTTAAAAAATATGTAAAATGTACAAACTAGTATAACTCCGTAGTAATTTTGATTATTACTACAAGTTTTGTATAGGCAATAGAATTTTTGTTATTTCGTGGCATGACGTCCAGTAATAAAGAAATTTAATTTTAATATGAAAAGACTCAGTGAAGAGTTTCAACGATAAGATCTTAAAAAATTCGAAAAGTGGAGTTAATCGATTTAACAAGTGAGTCATTCAGTTTGTGATCGACTGCGGATCAATGCGCACGTATTATCTACGAAAATCATTGGTGTTCCGTTTTACCCATTGCTTCGTGTTACCATTACCTATTATTTACGTGTTAAAATGACCTCGTTTAACACTGTTTCGTGTAGAGCTTGGTTCGATCTTTAAACGTGTCCTAGAGTTAAACGGGGTCTTACTGTACTTGCTCTTCCGTTCACGATTACTATTATCGTCCGTTTCGTTACCACCACTTTTACCCTTTCTTTCTTTTTTCTGTTTCCGTTCGTTTTTCCTTTCGGTATACAGGCAGACGCACACGTACACGGAACGATTTCTGTCCATGGCGCCCGCCGTTCGAACGATGACGCCTGAACGGCGCCGATAAAAATGGGAGCCCCGCGCCGTCACGTTTCACGAGCGAGCCACCTTCTCGCATCCTAATGGACCGGGGGCACCCGCCGGCCGGTGATTTATGGAATCCCGAAGCGGACCCGTGGCACAGATTCGACTTCTGAGCCCCGCTTTTGCCTCGGGATTGAAATCCTCGCGCGGGCTTTCGAACACTTTTTCGTCGCTTCAAAGCTGCTTCCGATTATTCGCATCGTTTCTTTGTCGTGTAACTTCGCCCGGGACATTTTTGCGTCTTGTTTTCCGCCGCTAAGCGGCGCCTGGGAAGTTAGAGTCATTTCGCGAAAGTATTTTTGCGCTTGGGAGACTCTAATAGCTATTTCCTTGCTTCCAAGTGAATTGATATAAAAGAGAAATTACTATCGTTTGAAGTGTTATTCGAAAATTTGGAGAAAAGTGATCTCTTAAGTATAACATATAAATTAGATTTTTATTGATGTGTACCTTGTTCGTTTAGCTATCGAGCTTTGAAATAAGTCATTTAAATATTTAATGTAAATTGCTTTTTAAACGAATCTTAATTGGGAAAGATAAACAGTACATCGATGATGAGCGCTAATTGGAGATCCAACGGCTTAATGGGTATCAGTTTGAGCGGCGCGCGTTCAGGTGCTCGGTTAAGGCTGCGATTACACTGAGTGCGTGTTCGGAAGAAGTCAATACGTTCGGAAAAATCAAATGAGTGGTCTAGAATAATGATAGTCTAATTACTGAGTTCTTGAAAAACAAGCTTCAGTGAAATATTCTTCCATTAATTAAATACTAATATTCCAAATGAATAACAATCAATAATATTAATAACATTGTAATATTAGTAATACCAATAACACTAACATTATAATTACTAACATCAACAATCAATAATAATTAGTATTATTAATACCGTTACAATATTAACATTTAATTAAAAAGCAGCTTGTTTTCCCGAGAGCATATAGTAAGTAGACTTATTCCAAGCTACTCCTGTACAACAGGACCCCTTACAACGCGATCTGAAAATTGTTGAGAAATAATTATAAAAGAGAGATTCTCCATAAGAAAGTAGTACAAGCAAACGAAGTTGAACCAGTTCTTAAAAGAGAACTCAACGCAAGATTCTTAAACGTGAAATCCCTATAACGCAGAGTTTTTTCAACCCCATGCCCTACAACAACGAGTGAGACTCGTGGTGAAGACGTTCAACATGATTCAACAAATATATATATTACTCAGTTCATTTGAATTCAAAGTAAATATTATTCCTCTGTAATCAACTATTATACTTCAAAGAAAACATAGGCATAACATATGCTTCGAATTTTTCTCTTTTTCCAATAAATCATTAATGACAAAGTAGCCGTACCGATCAGAGTTGAGAAAGAAATCATAGGGCAAAAGGTTAACCGCGTTATACGGACTTCTACTGTAAATATATAAATCCTTGAAAATCTCTAGAAACGTACTTCAGCCGTTCATTGATCGGACGGCCGGTACGTCCGAATGGGTAACCAGCGTAAACGCGGCCTAAGGCAATCGGAGAAATTGGAAAAGCGTTTGGAAGCGGGCTATCAATGACAGGCTCCGCGGAGCGGCGCCCTGGATAGAAGGTTTTAGTCAGCACTGGTCGCGGACCAGTCGCCAGGCAGCTTCCTGCCTGATGGAAAGTCTGTGAATTGTTCTCAGGGGTGGGTGTCTACATTTCGAGGGTGGAGGAGGGTTCGGTGGCCGAGCGAGCTGGACTCAGGCCAGGAGACACCATCTTGGAGGTGAACGGCACACCCTTCCGGTCGGTAACCCACGAGGAGGCCCTCAAAGTGAGTTTTCAAACTTTCATTTTCCAAACCAAGACACTTCACGGCCCGTAAACCATTTCCGCTTGTCCATATTTTCTGGCAAGCATCGCGGAGATCGACGATAATGCCCAAATTCCACCCTCTGTTTTACTCGTTTCATCCCCCGACGCGACGCTTGGACCAAAATCAAATTTTCTACCGGATTGCTTGCTTATAATTATTCCCCGAGATCCGGTGACAAATGACACCCGACGGAAAGATTAGATTCTTGTTTATCTGTTATTTATTCATTTGACGGGAAGGTGCCCTTTAGTATAGAAGAGGAATAGATCTCAATGAAGTGTAAGGAGTTTATGAAGTAATAGTTTTACAAGATGATACAATAGATAATAAGGTAATAAGTAAATGAGAATTAAATTTGAATGAGAATTAAGCTTTTGATAGTTTCTGTACATATTCTGGTTATCGGATTCAAAACATTAAGATTGCTTTTGAAAAAGTCGAAACTATAAATTGGTGGCTTTCGAGTGGATCTTATATTAGCGTTAAAATTAATGCATTGTAGGAGAATAGGATAACAGATATTGTTGTTGATAATATTATAATACAATAGATTGTTATATTAATAACATTATATAATAATAGATTGTAAGAGGTAGAATATTATTATATTTCGTTCGTGTGGTGCTATATTTTGGAGGTAAGTAGATATTTGTAAACATTGCCACACTTATGGATTGGAGGTTATTGCTATTACGATGTGAAAAGTAGTCGTTTTTTATTGATTATTGCTGATAAGTGTTCAAAAACGATTACAAACAATAAAAAGTATCGAGAATGAACGTTATATTTGATGTTTTTGGATTATTTCCTTTGTTTTAAATCATTGATTCTTTTATCTTGGAACTCCCTGTTTAGATAATGCATTTTTTAAATTTTTCGTACATGAATAATTAATTTATAGGGCATTTTAGATTCCTTTAGAATCTTTTTTTTCATTCTGGAGTTTCAAGTAAAACGTTAACGAACTTTTTGCTCGATTTAGAGCCTAATGGCAACGACCTTGAACCATTGGAGCCAACTTCGTGAATTCTCTCCTACCTGGAGTAGCTAATAGTCAGTCATGTAATTCAAGGTTGTTGCTATAGACTGCTGGCAACCTCAAGATCGCCGACAATCGATCTTGGTAATCTTGGATTTGAACCGACTGTCTCTTGTGAACTACAATCTTAAGAACTCTGAAACATTCAAATCTAAACTAATCTTAACCTAAATCACCAATGATTATTACTAAGTCATGTAACTTTACATACTAACAACAAAGTTGGAATTCCTTTGCTTCTTGTTTTACTAAGTAATCAAATTTAGAATCTTTACAAACTGCGTGAAGATGTGCAGTCTCCTAATTATGAAACAATATTAATCCTCCACGTATATCGAATAAGGAAAAGGGTTAACGCAAGAATACACAACGGGATTTATTCCAAAACGTCTCTAAAGTGAAATACATATTTATATAATTCATAATACACCCAATTCTGTTATTCTTCTGTTATTTCCGTTCGGCTTGAAACTCTGTTTCTTTTTCCCTTAATATGTTGTAATTTTGTTTTCGGTTTTCACGAATTTGTATGTCTATAACTATAGCTTAATAAAACTTACTCAATCGTTCATGTTAATTCGTTCTCTACATTACATTTCGCTTTATAAACTAAAAATATGCAAATGTCCGAATTTTACTTTAAGCCACAGAACTGAGTGTATTCAGATGTAAGGACAATTAGCATCGCGTTCATCACGTGGAAATTCAGCCCTGATGACCGTTCGATCTTGGAACGCTTCCCCAAACACGGCTGCCTGGCTACGTGCCTAATCACAATTAAAAATCGCCGTTATATTACCCCGGTTTGGATGGCAATCGCCGTTCGATCGATCCGAGTCGTCCGGTATTTATGAGTGACCTTAGAAGTTAGCGAAAACCCATCGATTGCGGATACCGGGCCGGCTCTCAAGTAAATTACAGGGGGTGGGCTACGCGATGCCCCTTGATTCGAGTTATCTGGCGAGCGTATCGGGTCACTTCGCTCAGTCAAGTGATTCCCCGATTCCTTTCGTTTCCCTCTATCGCGAGGGATACGAGGAAAAACGTGTATTTATTTATACGAGGTTATTTTCGATCAACTAGCTTCATATACTTCCATATTTTTCTCTTCATTTATCGTGTATATATATTATTAGCCAGACTGCGTTTATGTACTATCTATCTGAAAATTGTTTAATAAGTGAATGTATTGATTTTTAATACTAGAAATTAGATGTAAAAGCAAATTTGTTCGTGAAAGTTTAAGGGTGGTTTTTGTTGAATATCAACGATATAAAAAGGGGTGATAGGAGATTTTAGGGTATTTGCAGAAAATTTTCATGATTATTCGTATTATCTTTTGTTATATTTTATATTGGAGTTTTAGGTATCCTTCGTAATCTTTTTCTCTTCATTTATTGTCCATGTTGAAGTCATTTAAAGTGTTAGTGTATTAATTGTTCGATATCAGAGATGAAATGTAGAAGAAAATTTGTTCGTGAAAGTTTGAAAATGGTTGCGTTAACTAACACGTACAATTTCTAATTTTTCTGGAGCCTCAATAGTAAAGCGATAAGAGCTACATTAAAATACGAAGCGGATTGAATTAAAAAGAGAATTTACCTAACATGAGAGTATAAAGTGCATTGTAGACTTTGAACGATATTAAAGCGAAGAAATGATTCCAGTATTTTCCGACATATTAATTTCTCGGCACTGAATTCTTCCCGTTTTCTTCGGGCTTACGCTCCCTCGTTTCGCTGAGATCATCCGTTTGCCGAGACCCGGACGAGAGGAAGCGTTTGGCAGGATCCACCTTCGTATTTAATTTAACTTTTAAGCAGCTCGTAGAGATTATGGAAAATCGGAGGGTGTACAGAAGTTGGTTATAGTGAAAGTCCTGAACGGCATTTCCCGCGAAACAGTCTATCCCGGCAATTTCCCGGAAAACCCTGCCCGAGACGTATAGTCCTCCCGAGAAATAAACTCTCGGGAAGATGAAGAAATCTCGAGGAACAACATATTTGTTGGACGTTCCTCGCGTAAATATCCTGTTCAGCAGGAATTCTTTTGCAGGATTGAAACGAATCGTACCGAAAGATTTTACAGCTTTCCTCTGTCATTACTAGAAACATTCGAAATTACATTCTTCGCGAGGAATTTTACATTGCACAAATTTTCTCAATAAAATTTCTCGATAAATTAACTCTTACTTCTCTTTGTCTTTTAGCTATAAATTCATTCCTTAACTACCGAGGTTAATTTTAACGAATCTCATTTATCTTCAGACAACACTTCAATGTTCCTTAACGAAGCATTTAATTTGGTTAATAGTTAAATTAATGGTAAATTGTAATACGAAATTATTTCTTAATCCTACCATGATCCTCAATTTATCGACAAATTTGAATTATTAGTAAAACGGAAGAACATAACTTAAAAATGATTCCTTTACACTATTCTCGAATTCGGAAGTATACCCGGCAAAATGAGTGCGCGAGTAAATCCAAGGGGAAATAAACAAACAAAAATGGCGGCAAAAAAATGGAAACGTGGTCGGTTTACAAAATGTCCCGAGTAACGTAGCAGTGTTAGCGTCAGGTAGCTGGAACTTTGTTTAGAGGGCTGTCAGTCGTCGAGGCATGAAATTCCTGTGATGTCGGGCAAAAGAGAAAAAAATTGGGGGAAAGCTATCGACTGGGCCAGAATGGAAAAGGAGCGTTGCTCGGAGCCACGCCACAAGTAATCTCTGGTGTAAACGCTTCTGATGGGTATCTCTGGATCCGGTGGCTCGTCATACTCTCATAGTGGCTCGGCAGCTTCTAGACAAAAGCCCGTCGACAATAGGCCATCAGAGTATCGGGTTGGCTCGGTGAAGAGGCACGTAGCTGGGCGAAAACTGCCTCGGAACTTCGCATATTCCGACGGCTTTTTTATCGGTAGGACCCACTTCGCCGATGGTTTCTCTCCACTTCCAATGAATTAACACCAGACTCACGGGATCGTTCAATTTCACGTGTGCTAACCCTTTGCCGACGAACGTTCTTTGAACTTCTAAAACTCTTTTCATAAGGAACTAAATTATGCATAAAAGATATTGTGGTGAAGGTAAAAATGCAGCAAAGAAGTAGTACGTAGAAAAATGTTTTATTTGTGAGTTGTTGTGAGTTATTCTAAAATACGTTCTTTTACGCGCTTTTTGGGTTCTACGCTGGAGACAATTGACGATCGATGAACGGTCGATTTTTGTCATGGTCCGCGCTGCTGCGCCACACTCGTGGCTGGTCACGTAGACTGCCACAATATTAAGTGTTGTGTGAGTATTAACACGTTGACTGCCACGGTGGTCACCGATGACCAGAGCTTCCAAATTACTTGAAAACTATAATTTGTCAGACAACCGATGTCGACTCACAATGTTCAATAGTGTAAATGAATAGATAATAATGTAACCTAATGATCGCAATACCAAGAAAGAAGTAATCGTTCCTTTATATCTTTGTTACAAAAGAATAAAAGATACATAAAACTCTATTCGTAAACAACTGAATTATGCATAAAAAACTATAAGCTTAACTCATTCGCGACCATGGTCATACTTGAAGTACCTTTATTGTGGACCGCGCCTTTTTTACAAATGTTTGACGTGATATGTTCTTTATACAGTTTATACATATTTAAAACACAGTAAATGAACGAAACGAAGCATTTTACATAAATTTCATACGTGTATGACATTTTGATATAGCCAAAGCGACTATAGGCTGTACTGTTAGGTACTCGTGGTTACCGTAATGGTGGTCGAGCTTTGTAGGCGTTTGCACGTGGTGTGCCGACTAATAAACTTGTATGTCTCGAAGGACCACCAGACAAGATCGGGAACAAAACTTAGAAATGAGTAGAAGGTGAAGTGAACTTTGACTCTAGTGCTATGCGCATG